CGAAAATGAGTTCGTATGAGTGACGGAAGCCGGCGCCCTTTCACGTTGCTACCTTTAACCCTCGCTCCCCAACTGGACGACTAAGTTGTTCACGGCTCGTTTCCGTACATTAGCGAAATGACGTCATGTTAGTCGAAAAAGAATTCTGCATCTCATGCGGGCGGCATCGCCATGCATTCATTAATGAGGCACGGTTCCAGAGCAAACTCAGCCGGCGATGTTTACCGACGTAATGAGCAGTAGCCGATTTCGTACGAACGATTACCTGAACCTGGCAATTAATAAATAATCTCAGAGTAGTGACTGATGTAGACTTTCAACTGTGAGGTGAGCAAAAACGCTAAAAGTTTTTACCTGCAAACAAAAGATATTTTTGTCGCGATCCATCTCCATAACAGGTGCCGACCGACGCGTAATTACAAAGAAAAACGCTATTGGCGACCTGTTCCTCGTCATCCCTCGCATGACACGTGTGTAGTGTGCCGGACGAGAAGAGGGATGGGGAAATAAGCTGGAGAGAATTAGAATTGATACGCAGCTTGAGCCAATAAATCCTCTCGAATAAATTGGTTCGCGAGCTAGCGAGGGAAAAGAGGCTTCATTCGAAAAATGAACAGGTCTTCGTCAGATGTTCATTCGGTCGGAATGATCGCCCTGGCCGGCGACGACCAGAGCTGAAGCTGACATTCAGTTGGCCATTGTGATAAATAAAGATAGAAAATGAGATTTCTCTACATCAACGCCATCACAGATTTTTGCTTAACAACCGCTGTCACTGCCGTTATGGACACAGCTCCATTAAAACAGATGGACGGCTAAATCAGTGATTACGGGACATGGCAATCTAAATTAAAATCAGTCTTACGCAGCGCTGACCTCAATTCCAATTTTACTTACATCTGACTCATTGCCTACCGCCTGTCAACCAGCGGTTGTACACGTTACTCCAGCGAAAGGGGGACGATGAGAGGGAGGCGAACGATATCGACGATAAGTTACAAAATTTTTTGCCACACCAGACCCAGCACGACCAGTGTGGAATTCCAGAGCTAATACGAGGTGCGAAATTTCGGCAAAATTTATCCTCGTCCTGGTACCGACTTTAAGTACGAAAAAACATCGAAGGGTGCTTTTGCCAGGGAGGTAGAAATGAGGTAGAAAATAGGTTGCAACGTTTTTGAGGAAGACCCGCACAACCATTACCATCCAAAATATGCAAATAAAGCATAAACCTGTTTGCGCTTGAAAACAAAAGCCAAAGCCGACGCTTGCATGCAGAGCCTGGCTACAGAAAGCAAAT